AGCTGCCAGGAGAAGGGACCAGCTGCCAGGAGAAGGGACCAGCTAAGGAACAGAGGTCGACTCGGGAGTAAAGCCACAGGTGGACGGTGAATGGCCCCTCCCAGAGGGAATAAAGCGGAGCGAAAGGGGAGTGGAGTTTGCAGGAGACCATTAGTTCCATTCATTCGGGTGAAGATCTGTTCCTGACTCCTTGCCAAGTAATTGCTGCTACAGCTTGGAGTTTTGAAGATATTGGCCTGGCAGCTCTCCAAGCCTGCTAAAAGTCTGTAGTTGTGAAATCTCTTGAAAGACTCTTGGCCAGGACCAGCCAGATTTGACCCTCGTTTATTTTCTATTTTTTTTTGCATGGAGAGGAATTCCACTAAGCAAAAGGGGTTTTATCGGGATGGGGAGTCAGCTTCTTCATGCTTATGGGACGCCGAGGTCAGAACACCGCTGTGACTTAAAATCGCCACTAAATGAAGCGTTGTAAGTCTGTATGTTATATATTTCTGGATTTCTATTGAGTTCTGTTTTGCTTCTGTTCTGTTTCAGTTGCCAATAAAGAACTAGAAAATTGGACAAAATGGAAGGCCAAGCAAAAACTCGGCCCAATCAACTTGAAACCTCAGAAATTAGGTAAGTCGGGAGGAAATGGAAGAGAGTTTCCACTTTTTAATTTAATTTAATTTATTAGATTTATAGGCCGCCCAATCCCGGAGCACACTTCTTTCACGAAGACGTGTCGTGTTTATTTTTTTAATTGAATCCTGAAAATTCAGATCCTATTGGTTGTTGGAGACAAACGGTGTTATTTTAAGAACGTTTACTAGCCTTCCCCTCCCCACCACCCCCTTTTAACTCCGAGGTTAATGCGGTGTGCATTCTGATATATAGGTGGAATAAAATCTTTGCAGAGTTTGCAAAACAATCGACGTACTTTTAACTGGCGGAAAGCCAATCTATGGAATCCGATGAAGGCGGAACGTTAAAAATGTCTTTTTGTTCAATAAAGATGTCCTGAAGAATAATGGTATCATTAAAAAAAAGAAAAGAAAAGTTATGGAAATTCTTGACCAAATTGCAACTAGTAATTCTGGATTGATCAGTCAACTTGTTGAAATTAAGATGGCTTTGAAACGGTCGGAAGTTGTGAAGTAAGCAGAATGCTTTTTACGGTAACATTATAGCTGTTTTAAAATCTTTATTTAGGGCGAGCTACACATTGCTGCTGTTTTAATACTGTCTCACGTTGTATCTACAGGAGGAAGAGCCACGGAGCCTGAAGTCAGGGAAAAACAGCAATTTGAGTACATCCAATCAAAATACCAGCAAAAGGTCAGTTAAAATGTAGCTTGTCGGTTCTCGTTCTTTGCATGGAACAAGAAGAGAAATATGTTGTCTGATTTAACCTTTCCCTACGCAGGAGAGAGAAAAATCCAGATTGGAGCAAAGAGCAAACATGAAATTGCACTTCACTTTGTAAAGTTTATAAGTTTACACCAGACTCCGAAACCCTAAGTTTTTTTTTTTAAAAAGGAACAGGAAACGAAAACATCTGGATTCCTCTCCCCCCACCAAACCTAATATTATATATCCATGGATTTTGTTCTTTTGCCTGGCACAACAAAGAGTTTTCCTCTAGCTAATCTGTTTAGATTAAAACAGTGGTTCCCAAACTTGGCAACTTTAAGACTNCAGAGAGCCAGATTTAAAGAGTCGAGTAGAACCGTAAGTGGCACCTCCTTTCTCGAAGATATTTCTTCAAAGGGCAACTGAACTTTTCTTTGTGCGTCCTTGAAGGAACCAAAGGATGTTTTGCTTCTCATCCAAGAAGCTTCATTTGTTGAAAAACACCTTTGTGACAACAATGTCCCGGAAAACTGAGAGTCTCCATAGACACTTTTGGGGCTGCTCTTGACTCAAAAGGGGTGGGGGGCTCTGTCTGCAAACTAGCCAGCACTTGAGCTGTTGGTGCCCTGTCCTTTTAAGACCAGAAAGTGAGGGAGAGAGGGAGAGAGGGAGGGAGAGAGAGAGAGAGAGCTGGGTGTGGTGGTAGTGGAGTTATGTTGGAGTGTGAGAGAGAGGGATGGTGGCTTGTCCTAGTTTGGGAAACTAAAACGGCCCGCAGAAGAAGAAGATTAAGTAAGAAGTAAGCATTTCCTGTGCAATGTTGGTGTCTAGCATTAATACCACGATGGGTATTATTTGCAGATGTTTTATTACCCAACTAGGTAACATGATCAGTGCTAGAAGGGAGGGAGGTATGGAGGGGGGAGCAAGAGGGGGAGAAGGAGGACTGCGGAGTCCTTGGTGCTCTCTGAGGTTGGTTGTTTTCTTCCAGACGTTTCATGACCCAACTGGGTAACATCAACAGGGATATGGAGGCAGGAGGAGGAGGAGGAGGAAGGAGGAGGAAGGGAGGGGAAGAAGAGGAGGAGGATATACAATAATGAGGCATCTTTTCCTAGTCTCTCTCTCTCCAAATTGTAGGTTGGAATGTGAGGCCCTTTTAAATGGTGTATATTATATTGGAGTAAGAAGCTACTGTAACTAAGGTAACATTGTCAGTATTACTGACTATCACTGATGATGTTACCTAGCTGGGTCATGAGACGTCTGCAAGAAAAGAGCCAAGCTCAGAGGGCACTAAGGACCCCACAGTCTTCTTCCTCTTCCCCTCCCTCTCTCCTGCTCCTCCTCCTCCTCCTCCTCCTCCTCCTCTTCACAAACACCAATCCCTTGTAGCACTGATGATGTTACCTAGCTGGGTCATGAGACGTCTGCAAGAAAAGAGCCAAANTGGTTCTCCACTAGGACTCCAAGATCCCTCTCACAGTTACTACTATTGAGCGAGGTACCACCTATATGGTACCTGTGCGTTTCGTTTTTCTTGCCTAAATGTAGAACTTTACTTTTTTTCTCCGAAGACCCTTGAAAACCTGGGAACTTCTGCGAGACGCAGCAACACAGCAGATACAACACTGTCTCCGGATGGATAGGAAAGAGCTAGGGATCCCTCACTCTCCTTCCCCCAGCCCAGACATCAAATAAACAATGGTTTAGGTCAAAAGCTAGCCTCTTCCTTGTCTTTGAGTTCCAGGCTGCACACTTCCTAGGAAGACAATGCAACCTCAGGAAGCCATTTCCCCCTTGAACTCTCAACAACCCTTTGTTAGTCCAGAGGAAGGACGGATGTACGTCCTTTGCTGATAAGGCTGTGAAGGTTGGTGATGGGCTCCGAACAGACAAAGCTCCGGATGTAGCAGACCCGTCTGGCCAACGGTCAAGTTCAATGAAGTGTCCCGTTTGAGGGCTGGCTAGTTTAAGGGAGAGAAAGGTTAAGGGGTGAGACAATAGCAGCCTTCCGATAATGGAGGGGCTGCCAGCAAGAAGAGGGGAGGAGGCTCTACTGTGCAGGTGAGAGGAAGGGGTTGTGAAAATTAAGGACTCCGGGTGTTTTACTCGGAGAGTAAAGTGGAGCAGGTGAGCAAGTTCCTGGAATTGAGAAAAAAGATGCTGAGACTCTAGAACAGTGTTTCTCAACCTTGGCAACTTGAAGAAGTCCGGACATCTTCAAGTTGCCAAGGTTGAGAAACACTGCTCTAGAAAGAGTGCAGAGAAGAGCAACAAAGAGGATTAGGGGACCGGAGGCTGAAACATATGAAGAACGGTTGCAGGAACTGGGTGTGTCTAGTTCAATGACAAGAAGGACCAAGCGTGTATGCTTAGCCTATCCTAGTTTTAAAGAAAAAGTAGTAATAATAATAGTAATGAGAATTATTTTTTTTAAAAAGAAAAAACAGTATACATGTGGGGTCAAATTACATTATACAAAATGATTTCTTAAAGCTCCGTTAAGGGAAGTTGACTACGCAAAAGCTGGAGGACAGGAGAAGAGGAAAAGCAGGGATTCATTACCAAAATGATTACCTGTAAGTTGTCCAGGATAATCCGGAGGGACTGAACCTGTCTCCGAACAGCTCCAGAAAATCGTTCGTATGTCGACGCATCGTATTCGCTCATCTGGATTTCTTTTAATCTGAAGCAAAACAATGTGGAACTGAATCAAAACTGGTCCTTTTTTTATAGAACTATCTAAAGCTTGACAATTTCTTGAATAGAATAGAGTAGAATAGAGAATAGAATAGAATGTATTGAAATGAAGAATAGAATAGAGAATAGAATAGATTAGGAGAATAGAATAAGGAATAGAATAGAATAAGAAATAGAATGGAATAGAACAGAACAGAATAGAATAGAATTCTTTATGGGCCAAGTGTGATTGGACACACAAGGAATTTGTCTTTGGTGCAGATGCTCTCAGGAGACATAAAAGAAAAGATACATTCATCCAAAATCATAAGACACAACACTTAGTGATAGTCGAGATTACTAATAAGCAATCGAATTATACTAGAAAACAAATAAAAGAATATAAATTTTAAAGATACAAGCAACATGGTTATAGTCCTAAGTGATAGGTACTAGGAAGGAAGAGAAGACTAATAGTAATACAGTCTTAGTAAATAGATCATAGGAGCATAGATTAGATTAGATAGATAGATGATAGANTCTTTTCTCCCAAGCCACTTACGGACCCACGATTGGTTCAGAGCCGTTTCCCTCTGGGAGTCACCTTAAATTTATCCTCGTAGTTCTCAAAGGCTTCCATAACCATGCAGACGGCTTCCATGGATCGCTCCAGCCGCCGGTCGACGCCGTTGAAGCGGTACATGCTGCCAGAGACATCTACCACCAGAGAGAGCCGCTTACATTTCTGCTGTGGACTTCCCAGCTTTAGAGGAATATAGGAAATAGTTGACAAATTAAGTCAGACATCAGTGAGACAGAAGAACAGGTGGAGCCTGTTCCCAGTGTGTGCATGCGCAGAGCTACCAGACGAAAGGAACAGCTAAAGGACAGGGGTCGACTTGGGAGTAAAGCCACAGATGGACGGTGAATGGCCCCTCCCAGAGGAAATAAAAGAGGAGCGAAAGGGGAGGGGAGTTTGCAGGAGACCATTACTTCGCTTAGTGACTCTCTGAGGCGCCTGGCCAGGTTCTGAAGATATCGGCCTGGCAGCTCTCCAAGCCAGAGAAGGTCTGTGACTGTAAATCCTCCCTTGAAAGACTTGGCTGGATGTGAAGGAGCAGAATTCACAGTCAATTAATAAAAGGAGTTTTTGTCGGAGTTCGCTTCATGTTCTCGGGAAGCCTTGGCCAGAACACCAGGGGAGACTTGAGAAGAGGCTAATTTCCTCTGGGATGTGACTTTCTTCAGTGAAATTACACACAAAAACTAGAAAAATAATTGGCCGACAAGCTTGTTTATAACATCTAACTTACCTGTGGGTCAAGTTCTCCACGCCGCTTGTAGATGGATTTTTCCCCGGTCAGACTATCGATGATCTTGGCATCATCCAATTCTCCAACTGCTTGATGTCTTAACCACTGCCTTTCTTTCCCTTTGGCCTACAGAAGAATAAAATATAACAATCAGCTTTCTTTAAGCCTACATTCTACTTATTTATTCTTTTTGTGGTGTATTTTCATTTTGAACTCGTCTTCCAACTTCTACAATCAGCCTTGGCCCCATTTCTCGAAACAAACGCATGAACAGACAAGTCTGTCTATCAAAGGAAGGACAATATTTGTCTACGTTGAATGAAATGCATTCTTTTCCAGTCTCCAGATCTTGCCTGGGAACCTCGAACCCAAAGGCTTATTTTTGACAACCGGTGTAATTCCAGCACGCTGACAAACGGGGTTTAACGAATCAATAAATCCCACTTGAACAAACAAGAGAAGCAAATTCACAAGGAGGGACAGATATGGAACGGGAGCATGGAACAATCCATGTAACGCCCACAGGTTTGAGCCTTCAAACCCCTGGTGATTTCTAGCTGAAAGACAGATTGAAGGGAACCAAATAATTATAGGAGGCAAAGGCATTTCAGGTTCACCCAAAAGGACATTGAATTGCCCTCCATTATGATAATGGTGAAAAAGAAATGGCAATTACTATTCAGTCTTTCAAACTCTCTCTCTCTCTCTGTATCTATAGCTATACATATCTGTTATATATATGTACATGTGTGTGTGTATGTATATATGTATGTATGTGACCATATATACATATATACACACACACCTATACCTGTCTAGTTGTTTATTATCTCTCTCATNTGAAAAGCTGGGTGACTTTGGGCCAATCGCCAGGAGACTGTGAATTCCAGTCCCGCCTTAGGCTTGAAAGCCATATGGGCCAGTCACTCCCTTTCAGCCGAACCTACCTCACAGGGTTGTTGTGGAGAAAATAGGAAGAGGAAGATGTGTTAGATGTGTTCTCCACTTCGAGTTATCGTAAAAATTAATGAAGGTGGATTTTTTTTCCCCCACTTTACAATGGGTAAACAACTCTTCGGCTTTCTCTTGTCTTTATTTTAATTTAGATTGTAGTCTTTAATGGTGTTTTTATGTCGTCTTTAATTATGTACACCACCCAGAGATGCTGTACGGCTATATAAATGTAATAAATAAATTCCCAGAATTCCTCAGCCAGCATAGCGGCTGGAGAATTCGGCGGGAGCTGAAGTTCGTACTTCTTAAAATCACCAAGGTTGAAAAACAGATTGCGGCTTGATGCAAATATGTGACTTTCCACACAGACAATTGTAGATTTAATCCCAGGAGCTGCAAGCGGATTTGAAAAGGCTGCCTGCCTCAAACCCAGTGTAGCCATTACCGGCCAGTATGGGCGGCACTGGGATCAGGGAGACCTAAATACAGTTCTACAGAGGAATGATTGAGTCTGTCATCTGCACCTCTATAACGGTCTAGTTTGGTTCTGCAACCCAACAAGACAGACAGAGACTTCAACGGATAATCAGAAGTGCAGAAAAAACAATGGCTGCCAACCTGCCTTCCATCGAAGATCTGTTCAGTGCACGAGTAAAAAAGAGGGCTGGGAAAATATCTACAGACCGCTCACATCCTGGACATAAATAGTTTCAACTCTCCTACCCTCAAAATGATGCAATAGGGCACTGCACACCAAGACAACTAGACACAAGGCGTTTTTCCCCCAACGCCATCACTCTGCTAAACAATTAATTCCCACAACACTGTCAAATTATCTACTAAGACTGTATTGCTATTATTCTTCTCTTCCTTCCTAGTGCCTATCTCTTCCCACTTATGACTATAACCATGTTGCTTGTATCTTTACAATTTATATTGTTCTGTTAGTTTCCTAGTATGATTTGATTGCTTCTTAGTAACCTTGACTATCACTAAGAGTTGTATCTTACGATTCTTGATGAATCTGTTTTATTTTTCTTTATGTACAACGAGAGCCTATGCACCAAAGACACATTCCTTGTGTGTCCAATCACACTTGGCCAATAAAGAATATCTATCTATCTATCTATCTTCTATCTATCTATCTATC